CGTGTTTAATACTTATTTTACCCGCTGTAAGTGGTGCAGAATACCAAACCTTAAGCTTACAGATTATTTCAACAGTCAGTGCTTCACACACTGAAATCCAGATCTCACAAATAGAACAAAAGTAAATACTGTAAGCAGTATTTACTGCAGAACCGTTTTCATCATGAAGTTTGACGAACTGTCTTTGCTCCTCATTGGGTCAGACTTGGAGCTCACTCAATGGAAACTTTTTCTCTCTGTGTCACTTTTGTTGTTGATGTGTTTGTGAAAAAACAATCATGCTTAAATTACGCAACAAAGAACTGCAGCATTCTGAAGCAGAAAAAGTAAAACYCTCACACCAGCTGACATCGATAGGATTGTTTACACCAACATATAATTACAGTTAGTTGGCTGTGAAAATGAAGATTAAAGTCGGAATTCCTTTTTTTATTTTTTTAAGTGGCCCTAATCCTCTTCCGTACATTTAAGTGACCTAATGTAGAAATAGTTGTTCAGAGAACTCCTGAAGCTCCGTGAACCTGATTCTCTGCTATTATTTATTGTGATATAAAGCTTTGTTAAAACATGTTTCTTATATCTTATATGGTGCTTCAATTGTTGACGTGTAACCAACAGGATATTGTAATGTATTTTTAAGCCTGCCTGAACAATATCACCACGGGTGGCCACTAACAGTGAGTCTGGGCTTGCATGTTTACTGTATTGGAAAAAACAGCACCACTGTGACCTGAATGCTGCAACGTTCACCCGTTTCTACAAGAAGAGATGAGCCACTTACTCAGCAAGTGAGAAAACATCACAAACTCAGTGCTGCATCTAAAGCTAAGGGACTGAACTCGCACTGCTGCTGTGAAGTTGATTACATGCTTCAGTGTGCATCTGCTCCATCAAACTACACCCAAAATGCCCACGTTCACACACCAGCTATCTCTACTGTCCTCCAGCCACAGCAGTTTCTAAAACATTTTATGTGTCCCTGTTAACCATAGAAACTGTGATTCTGACATAGAGGAAGTGTCCTGGCCTGTAAGGAGTCCTGACKTCAGCCCAGCTGGGAGTCACATTTTCTCTGCACACATCCGGACTCGACCCGGATCACTGGAAGCAAACCTCAGCAGTGCTCAACAGCCAGTTTCCATTACATTTGTTTGTTAAAAGCTGCGTCTGATGAAGCAGCTGGCTTCAGGATCATCTCTGACACACTGTAGGAAGCAGTGTTTCCTGAACACCCATCATCGTTCTCCCCTGGTTAAACAGTCCTGCTTCAGACTTCATAGGAAGGAAGTAAAACAAAAAAGAAATGGTGATTTTTTTTTTAATTATTTAGCATTACCGTATTTATTCAAGTATAATACAAAAAAATTAATCTATAAAATCATCCATAAAGTTGGGGAGTAGTTTTATACTCGAATAAATATTTTTACTTATGTATTTATAACTGAAGTATCGGCTTCATTCACAAAATGCCTGAGTCCGGAAATGAGACCACGTCATAAAAAGCAGTTGAAACAAGCTTACCACTGACCATTGATATATATTACTGGATTGGGCGTCACGTGACCTGGGCGTGCTTCGCAAGGGGGATTTTTATGCATTGAGCTAATGCTAATGCTAACCATTGAAATCAATGAGCAGAACGTAGCGTGGTGCAAACAAATGCTTTATAAATGTACAAATGGTACAAATACTTTGCTATAAACTACACAGATTGTTACAACACATTAACAAGAGATAAAAAGGTTATGTTTCACAGATAAATATTACGCATATTTAACCAAAATTAATTATTTTAATTGTAAAACCTGTATG